AAAAAAAAAAAAAAAAAAAAGAAGTGAAGGCTGAGTATGGTGGCTCACTCCTGTAATCCTAGCACTTTGGGAAGCCAAGGCAGGAGGAACAAGACTGGAAGTTCAAGACCAGCTTGGTTGACCATGCCCGGTGGCTCAGTTTATAATCCCAGCACTTTGGGAGGCCGAGGCGAAAGGATTGCCTAATCCTGGTTGTTCAAGACCAGCCTAGGCAACTTGATAAGGCCTCATCTCTACAATAAATCAGAAAAACTAGCTGGGCACAGTGGCGTACGTCTGTAGTTCCAGCTACTTGGAATGCTGAGGCGGAAGGATCGCCTGAACCCCAGCAGGTTGAGGCTGTGGTGGCCATGAGTGTGCTGCTGCACTCCAACCTGGGTGACAGAGTGAGACTCTGACTCAAAAAAATAAGATGGACAAAATTGCCTGCACAGTTTAGGTAGAGGACCCTGGAAAGCCCAGGCAAGTGAGAGGCTTTGAGCTTAACCCCAGCTTCACTATAACTATCTCTGTTGTCAGTTGTAGCTACAAAACTCCCCAATCTGCCCTCCAGATCTCATGTACTGCAAATCCCCACCTGGTAGGACATGGGAGCCTCCTAGAGTGTGACTTTGGGCCTGGTTTGTTTAGAGCTGGACCCCTGCAAAGCCCTCGTGTATGTGAGTGTGTGTGTGTGTGTGTGTGTGTGTGTGTTGGGTGACCAAATTCCAACTGTAGATGAGTTACAGGACAGACCCCCCCATGCCCTCCACTAGGGGGCACCCAACACCGACCAGGGCCGTGATTTCAGGCTCTAAGGGAGAAGAGGGCTGGGGACCCCCAACTTCTGGATCCTGACAGGAGAAGGCATTGGAGGGGGTCCAGACTCCTGAATCTGAGATGAGAGGAGTCTGGGGTCCCAGACTTCTGAGTTCGGGGGGGGAAGGGAATGGTCTGAGAAAGGAAGGAGGAGTCTGAGAAGAGCCCCAGCATTGGTTGGAAGCAGAACTGGCCTGGGCAGTGGTTTGGTTTGGCAGGAGTCTGTGGGAAACAAGGGGACAGAGCAGGGATTGTTCCTCCAGGGTCTCCCCCTCCCCATCACCCCCTGGGCTTGGCAGCCTCGATTCTTCCCAGGCCCCAGGGACTTGGGGGCATTGCCCTCAGTCCTTCCCTGGGGCCCCTGTTTTTGACTGAACTCACAGCTGCCCGGCCTCGGGACCTGGGAAGACTGCCCTAAGTGTGTTAAAAGACTGGCTGGAGGTTCATGCCAAGCAGGTTAGGAGAGACGCAGGCTGTGGGTCCCTAGAGACCAACAGTCCCCCACTAGATTTTGGGGGCCATGACCACTCTTTACTACCTCAGGAGGCCAGGCCTCCAGCCCCCTCCATCCTTGGGCCCAGCACTGTCCTCCCTCCGACGATGGAGCCTCTTCTCTTTTTTTGCACACTCTGATTTTTTAAGTAGAGATAGGATCTTACTATGTTGTCCAGGCTGGCCTCAAAACTGGGCTCAAGCAATCCTCCCAAATCACTGGAATTACAGGCGTGAGCCACCACACCTGGTCCTCATCCTGTTCTTTTCACCTGCAACTCCTCATTGCAAAGTGCTCTCTTCCAGCTGCTAACCATCCCACCCCAACCTGGGGGGCCAAGTCAGTACCTCTTTCCCCTAACCTCACTTTCCAGCCACAAAAGCCCAACCACACTACATGGTGACACAGCCTCAACCTAGCCTCAACACAACCTAGCTAAGGGGGCACACACAAGGCCTTGGTCTCGTCAACCCTTCATTATTCCCTGTAACTCTGTCTGAAAAGATCTTCTCCATTTGTCTTCTTACTCCCTGAGGGCAAGCGTGCCTGTAATCCCAGCACTTTGAGAGGCAAAGGTGAGAGGATTGCCTGAGCCTGGGGGTTCAAGACCAGCCTGGTCAATTTAGCAAGGTATCATCTCTACAATAAATCCAAAAACATCAGTCAGGCGGGGTGACCCACACCTGTAGTTCCAGCTACTCAGGAGGCTGAGGTGGAAGGATCACCTAAGCCCAGTAGATCAAGGCTGTGGCAGCCATGGTCATGCCACTGCACCCCAGCCTGGGCAACAGAGTGAGATTCCGAGTCAAAAACTAAAATTATTTTTAAAAAATAAAACATTGGCTGGGCGTGGTGGCTCAAGCCTGTAATCCCAGCATTTTGGGAAGCTGAAGCAAGAGAATTACCTGAACTCAGGGGTTCAAGACCAGCCTGGGCAACTTGGTGAGACCTTGTCTCTACAATAAAAATCAAAAAATAAACCGGACTTGGTGGCATACACCTATAGTTCCAGATATTTGGAAGGTTGAGGCAGAAGGATCGCCTGAGTCCAGCAAGTCAAGGCTGCAGTGGCCAGGAACATGCCATTACACTCCAGTGTGGGTGACACAGTGAGGCTCCAACTCAAAAAAAAAATAAAAGTGTCAGCCCAGCTAGGCACAGTGGCATGCATCTGTAATCTAGCTTATTCGGGAGACTTAGGTGGGACAATCACTTGAACCCATGAATTCAAGGCCAGCCTGAATTCATAGCAAGAAGAGCATAGCATAGCAAGACCTTGTCTGAATTTTTTTTTTTTTTTTTTTTGAGTTGGAGTCTCATTCGGTCGCCCAGACTGGAGTGCAGTGGCCGCTCCCGGCCACCGCAGCCTCACCTGCTGGGCTCCAGCGATCCTTCCGCCTCAGCCTTCCGAGTAGCTGGAATTACAGGTATGCGCTACCACACCTGGCTGATTTTTTGATTTATTGTAGAGATGAGGTCTCGCTGTCCAGGTGGGTCTCGAACCCGCAGGCTCAGGCAATCCACTCACCTCAGCCTCCCAAAGGCACGGGATTACAGGCTGAGCCATCGAGTCTGGCCTCTGTCTGAATTTTTAAAAATTTTTTAAATGTCGCCTGGCACGGTGGCTCATGCTTGTAATCCCAGCACTTTGGGAGGCGGAAGCAAGAGGACTGCCTGGTCCCAGAGGTTCAAGACCAGCCTGGGAAACACGGCAAGACATCATCTCTACAATAAGCCAGAAAAAAATTAGCAGGGCATGGTGGCATGCGCCTATAGTTCCAGCTATTTGGAAGACTGAGGCAGAAGGATCATCTGAGCCCAGCAGGTCAAGGCTGCAGTGGCCATAAGCATGCCACTGCACTCCAGCCTGGGCGACAGAGTGAGACTCCAACTAAAAAACAAAGTCAGTCCAGGAACTGGACACTACCAGAAGCCACTCTCGATTACCTGTGTCCATGATTTGTCATTTTACAGGTGAGAAGCCATACCTTAGAAAAGAGCCATCTCTTGCCAGGCTCAGTGGCTCAGCCTGTAATCCCATGCTTTGGGAGGCTAAGGTGAGTGGATTGCCTGTGCCCTCGGGGTTCAAGACCCGCCTGGGCAACTTGGCGAGACCTCATCTCTACAATAAATCAAAAAATTA